AATTGTTAACATGTTGGTGTGCTAATGCGACATCTCATCAATTTAACAATGCATATTTTAAGGTGCTCTCACATAGACCATTACTGTGTTGATTCATATATTGACACATCATGAATTGCTTTAGAAGGACATCGGTCTGAATAAACTCCATCTATATTTAAAGTTTTTTTCATATCACAAGAAGAACAAGTCTCTTGCACATTAAAATCGGTACTTCTGCCGTGTTGAGTTACATTCGTATGATTCACAGCTATCCAACGCTTGGATAACTATGAAAACTCCACTGTAAATCTGATCCAATAGGCATGCCAAATATGTGCACAAAAAAAGCGTCCTGATAAGTTTACATATGTTACATGTTCGCATTGCGTCAAGCGCGGGGCCAGTTATTTCGGCATAAGAAATGTTCAGATTAAGAAAGACGGAAACCATTGTTGGTTTTCGCAATGTAACAAAATTGGTAAGAGAGAGCCATCCGAAATTGAAATGTTTTGTGGGGAAAATTTTCATCACATGAGCAGAGATTCTTCTTCTCATAAAATTTCCGTTTGGTGCGCCATGATGTTTCTTGGGCCGTCCTAAGTAGCGTATGGTTTTTCAGTGTCGGTGGTAACGCAGAGTACTTTCAAATCGCACAGTATTGCTACATTTCAAATTAATTCAAGGCAGGAAAATCTATTTTTTATTTGATAGTTTGTTTTGTGCGCTTAATTTATGGGGAAGATGGAGATTGATTGATTTTCAGGTTTCTAAACTTGCGTTTTACAAATCGAATTTAATCTTTACTTTTGGTGTCCGTTGTTCCCCCTTTGGTTTATCATTCTGAATCAATTCCATCTATATTTAAAGTTTTTTCATGTCACAGGAAGAACAAGTCTCTTGCGCATTAAAATCGGTACTTCTGCCGTGTTGAGTTACATTCGTATCATTCACAACTATCCAACGCTTGGATAACAATCAAAAGGACAGTGTAAATCTAATCCAATAGGAATGCCTGATCTGTGCGCAAGAAAAACGTCCTCAAAAGTTTACAAATGTTAAATGTTCGCATTGCGTTTAGCGCGGGGCCAGTTATTTCGGCAAAACAAATGTTCAGATTAAGAAAGACGGAAATCGTTGTTGGTGTTCGCAATGAAGAAAATCGGCAAGATAGAGCCATCCGAAATTGAAATTTTTGTGGTGAAAAATGTTCATCGCATGAGCAGAAATTCTTCCTATCATGTAAAAAGAACAAAGATGCAATGCTTTTGATGGAATTACGGGGAAGTTGGAAAGCGACGTAGTGGTGTTTTGGGTTTTCTGAACAATTTTTTTTCCGATTAGAAAATTGTCATTTCAGTTTCTTACTCTCGACTTCCTCAGTCAATCAATTAAAATACTGAAGAAGACACACTTCCTTGTTCAGGGGTAAGCAGCAAAAATAAAGAAAAAATAGCTTACATTCCTTTCCCCTTTAAAAACAAAACAAAAAAAACCTGTCATCGCCACCTCAAATCAGGTGCAACAGAAATCAAATCCAAGAACAGCAAATCTTGATTTTAAAAGAAGGAGCCACAATGTTTTGCAATGAGCAGTGTAAGCAAAACGGAAATTCGTATTGATACATCTCAGACCAAGATACTATCAACTACGGTTTAAAATCTCGTTGCAGACATTTTAGTGATCTTTTTTTAACCTATCAAGCTCAGCACTTTGTTCTTACACGAGCTGCTTGCAGTTATCTTTGTTTCTTGCGGCTTTCGGTCTCATCTCTCAAACAATATAACCCGTGTTTACTTTTAAAAAGGTTAGCACCTGAAGAACTAAATTCGCTTGTAATTATTATTTTCTCGCCTTTTCAAGAGAAATATATATTTCGGGTATAAATTAAATTTGAGAAATTTCAGTCTGATAATATTTGTGGAGACCTACCAAATTCAGATATATTTTTGACTTGATTGTGAAATATTCGGCTTCACCTTGACCCTTTGAATTTATGATCGTATTAGCAATTCTTCCATATAGCTCCTTCACTTTACCTTGTTCGTCAGTGGGAAGAATTTAGTGTTGTTCTACGAAAACATACTTAGCTGATAAGTGGTCTCGCCGCTTGTTCACTGAATAACGTGTTGATTTTGGAAAGAGAAGCGATAAGTTCCTCACTTCTGTAACTTGAACGTTTAAGAAATCGCTCAAAGGGAAATCTAAAACCACCAAACTCGTATCAATGATATGCAGGCTCCAATATTTTTTTAGATATCTTATAGGCAAACTGTAATGCAAGTTCCATCCTCCTTAGGTTTTTACAATGATTACTTTTTACCGATAATTTTCATATTCGATCTTTCATTAACTCTTTGCATTCTTCGTTACTTTGCAGAGAAAATTTAAAATCAGTTCCATGATTTTGGTCTCCTACCAATCAAGAGATCATTTCTTCTTGAAAGGTGAGCGGCTAAATATTTATTTCAGAAATATAGCGCGCTGAAATGTTTACGATTGCAACTTAATAATGATAGAGATAAATACTTGTGAATGATGAGTCTGTTTACTCTCACGACTTGATTGTTGTACGGTATATTGATATTGTAAGGAGAAACTACATATTCATCACATCTGTGATGATGGAAAATAAGAAGATGCCATATGTTATTTCATGAATCTTATGGGCAACCTGGGAGACAATTTTCTTCCATCTCAGGTTTTCTTTTTTTCATTTTGGTGATTTCTTGTTACCAACCGTGTGAGTAAAATGTCGTTACATCAGCTATTTGTATATGCGTTTGTTTGTCTGGGAAAGTCTAATTTCATTTTTTTACTTTCGTTTTCATTAGTCACATCATCAAAATCTGTCAGCAGGGTCTGTTTTCAAAGGTGAGCTGTTCGCTTTTCTTTTTAAATTTCTATTGCTTCTTAATTTCATTTCCTATGAATAAAATTGATCTTATTATTTTAACAAACAAAAAATTTGGAGAACTTGGTGTATGAGTTATTGAAGTAACGCGAATGTAATTGAATGAAATGAAAAGATTTTATTTCATACATACGGAGATTACATTGTGAAGTACTATCGTTCGTGTCTCTGATCGTACGAACTTTTCACAGTCGTTTGCTTTCCACTTTTAAGTGTGAATTTCAGTATAATTTTATATGTATGAAATAAAAACATCATACATGGAAAGTGCTTGAGCAATTTTTGATCTCTAGTTTCCATGCATCAAAAAACTCAATCGTTTGCTGCGCTCCCTCGTTCCTTTATTTGATGCATCGCTACTCGTGAATAAAAATAGTTCAGTCGTACGCGCTTTCTATGAACAATCTTTATTTCCTTCGTCTCATAACCAAATTAAACGTTTTGATGACGAGCGATCGGTTTAAACGCTGAGTAGGATCTTTGCTCTTTTCCCAATTTTATGCTGTATTACAACCAAAATATTTTCGGTTTTGAAAATAACTGTTTAGTATTGATTAACAACAGTTATATGTTCCAATTTCGTAGCTCTCAAATTCATGAAGCAAGTTTCTAAAACTGACAAATCGAAATCTTATTTCGACACAAATATATTCATTCGGACACAGTTGAATGGTTTCATACTTCCTTTTAATGTATAATGTAATTTTTATTTCGTTGAATTTATGTCCATCAAATTTGTCTTCCACGCAACGAAACTGGTCTACGTCACGTAGATGGATATCTCCGGATTGATTAAAAATTATTGATTTGCCTCGACTCTGAGTGAAACAACCATGGAAATAAGAGCAGAGTGAGTCCCTGAGTGAGAGACCTCGGAGTGAGACTCATGATCCTGTCAGGATTTCATGCAACAATTTTTAGAAAAATTCACGCGTCACGTGTATGAAAGGCAAAACTTCAAATATCTCGCCTTGTGTAGAAGGTTTCTGGAAAATCTTGAGGATTTCACGAGATGAAAGAAGAAATTCACGGGTAACTTATGTTTCAGGAGGCAAATTACGCCTCACACTAAATCATAAATTCACGAATCACGCTCGCTTTTCTGTAAAATTCACGCGTCAAGTATTAAATTTTGGCCTTAATCAGGCGTCACGTGTAAACGCTTTTGGCGCCCTCCTTTTGAAAGGCAGTTTGACTGCTCTCGTATGACACTGCAAAGAAGTACAGAGTGTGCATGCAGGCAAAAAAGATCCTGTGCTAGATGAGTAGGAAATAAGAAACCCCTGTGTAAACCGAATAAAATTGTACCGCCATTTCCCGTTCATAACAAAATAAGTGACAGCATGCGCTTGCATTGTCTCTCCTGATTGGAATGAGAGAAATGATTTTCTCCGAGAGAAGTCAAAATATTTCTTTAAAACTGATTCGTACGAAAAACATAAATGCCATTATTTCAATTAAAAAGTCGAATAAAAACTACTTCCTCGGCTAAAAGCGTCATTGAAATTCTGTCCTGTTTCGGCTGCCAGGCAACCAGGCGATCTGTCCAAAAACCGCGCGAGACGCTCGCGACGCCTGAACGGTGCCCATTTAAATCGTCCCATCCTATCCCGCCCTATCATAATATGATCAATAGAAGTTCCAGAGAAAATCATGTTAATGTACATTCTTTGAGTTGAATTCAAATGTTTGCCAATTTTTTCTGCTAATTTTAACAATCTCAGTGGAAGTCATTTTCAAGCAATAGATTGCGATCAGATTCAGTAATAACTAATTGTGTGGCACACATTGAGTTTAAAAAAATACGTTTAATGCAAACATAACAAGATTCGTAAATTAACCGCTGTTCAATTGGTGAACCGTTTTTGATAGCTAAAACAAAATCTGCTTTACGATTACTTGAATTCAACCCAACTGATTCATATACGATTGGTTTGAATAAAAGAATGAAAAAAAATGTTGCCCTCAGACATTCGTAAAAAGGAAGGAAACAACCAATTCCCTTAAAAAGCTCAAGGACTCCACTATGATCAGTTTTTATTTCAACTTTTTTAAGTTTTGTTTTTTTGTTAATTCTTTGTCACGACAACAAACAGGAAGACTCGTAATGAGTGACGCTGCAGAAATCCTAAAGTCAGTCCAGATAGGTTTAAATGTCGTCATATTTCTTCTCAACACTGATCGTGGCCCACAAGCGACTGAGTTATGTAATGAATGTGCAATTCTACTTCAAAACCTTGACTGTGGTAGTCACCTTGATATCTCCAATGTAATATCCAATGCATACTACGCCATCTCTGGTGACACAAGTGCGGTAAGATATGCCAAAAGACTTCTTTACACGTTGCACCACGCTGGAAGACTAACCATTCAACTGGGAGACAAATATAAAGCGCAGCGCCGGTTTGTAGAGGCAAAGCAACTTTTCAATAGCGCACTCATCATCATGCAAACGACTGGTCACAAAAGAGAAGAAGCCATAGCTCACGGACGACTTGGAACTGTATGTATGAGCCTCAATGAAATGCAGAAGGCAAAAAAACACCTTGAGAAAACACTCACCATGGGGATAGAAATTGGCGACAGACAAGCAGAAGGAAGAGGTAACGGATACCTCGGAACTGTGTTTCATTCCCTTGGAAAATATCAGAAGGCTAAAGAATGTCACAAGAAAGCACTTGCCATTGCGATAGAAATTGGCGACAGACAAGAAGAAGGAAGATCTAACGGGGACCTCGGAAATGTGTTTCATTCCCTTGGCAAATATCACAAGGCTAAAGAATATTACGAGAAAGCACTTGCCATCGCCATAGAAATTGGTGACAAAGAAGGAGAAGCAACAACTAACGGGAACCTCGGAAATGTGTTTCATTCCCTCAGTAAATATCAGAAGGCTAAAGAATATTGCAAGAAAGCACTTGCGATGGCGATAGAAATTGGCGACAGACAAGGAGAAGAAGCAAATAACGGGAACCTCGGAACTGTGTTTAATTCCCTAGGCGAATATCAGAAGGCTAAAGAATATTATGAGAAAGCACTTACCATCGCGATAGAAAATGGCGACAGACAAGGAGAAGGAACAATTAATGGAAACCTCGGAAATGTGTTGCTTTCCCTAGACGAATATCAGAAGGCTAAGGAATATCACGAGAAAGCACTTGCCATCGCGATAGAAATTGGCGACAGACAAGGAGAAGGAAGAATGAACGGGAACCTAGGAGATGTGTTTCATTCCCTAGGCCAATATCAGAAGGTTAAAGAATATTGCGAGAGAGCACTTTCTATCGCGATAGAAATTGGTGACAGACAAGCAGAAGGAAGAATCAACGGGAGCCTCGGAACTGTGTTTCGTTGTCTTGGCGAATATCACAAGGCTAAAGAATATTACGAGAAAGCACTTGCCATCGCGATAGAAATTAGCGACAGACAAGCAGAAGGAACAAGAAACGGAATGCTCGGAAGTGTGTTTTATTTCCTTGGCGAATATCATAAGGCGAAGGAATGTCACAACAAAGCACTTGCTATTGCGATAGAAATTGGCAACAGAGAAGGGCAAGGAGCATTTAACGGGAACCTCGGAGATGTGTTTTATTCGTTAGGCGAATATCAGAAGGCTAAAGAATTTCACGATGAAGCACTTGCCATCGCGATAGAAACTGGCGACAGACGAGGAGAAGGAGTGAGTACCGGGAACCTCGGAAATGTGTTTCATTCTCTTGGCAAATATCACAAGGCTAAGGAATATTGCAACAAAGCACTTGCTATTGCGATAGAAATTGGCGACAGACAAGGGCAAGGAACATTTAACGGGAACCTCGGAAATGTGTTTTATTCGCTTGGCGAATATCAGAAGGCTAAAGAATATTACGAGGAAGCACTTGCCATCGCCATTGAAATCGGCGACAGAAAAGGAGAAGGAGTGAGTAACGGGAACCTCGGAAATGTTTTTCATTCCCTTGGCAAATATCAGAAGGCTAAGGAATGTCACAAGAAAGCACTTGCTATTACGATAGAAATTGGCGACAGACAAGGAGAAGGAGTAAGTGACAAGAATCTTGCAAATGTGTTTCATTCCCTAGGCGAATATCAGAAGGCTAAAGAATATTGCGAGAAAGCACTTGCCATTTCGATAGAAATTGGTGAAAGAAAAGCAGAAGCAACAAGAAACGGGATGCTCGGAAGAGTGTTTCATTTTCTTGGCGAATATCAGAGGGCTAAAGATTATTACGAGAGAGCACTTGCCATGGCGATAGAAATAGGCACGAAAGAAGACGAAGCAACAACTAACAGGAACCTCGGAAATTTGTTTCATTACCAAGGCGATTACCAGAAGGCTAAAGAATATTACGAGAAAGCACTTGCCATAAAGACAGAAATCGGCGTAAGAAAAGGTAAAGAATACTTGAGTCTTGGGAATGTTTATTTTGACCTTCGAAAAAATCGGCAAGCTAAAGAATATTTGGACAAGGCAGTCGGCATCAGTATAGCAAGTGGTGACAGAATACTTGAAGCCCAGGCTACAGCAAGTTTGGCTGCTGTTTTTTCTTCTGTGAATGAAAATCAGAAAGCAAAAGAATATTGTGTGAAAGCGCTTACCATCAGCAGAGAATGTGGCCATAGAAATAGCGAAGCAAACATTTACATAAACCTTGGCATGATACACCAATCGCTCGGTGAATGTAGCGAGGCAGAAGATTGTTTTGAGAAAGCTTATTCCATAGGCAGCCAAATTGGAGACAAGATGCTTGAGTTTAAAAGCCTTCTCAGTGTTACGCTGATAAAGATATCGCAGTCAGAGTTTGTGGAGGCAAAGGAATATCTTCTTCAATGTATTGCAAAATATGAGCAAATCAGAACCTTTATGAAAGGAAACAGTGACTCTAAAATGTCTCTGTTGGAGGAACACGGTACTTTTCCCTACCGTTTTCTCATTGACTTGCTTTGCATTATTGAAAAATTTGGAGACGCTCTCTATGTTGAGGAACTGGCTCGAGCAAGAGTCCTCGCAGAATCAATGGCAGAAAAGTACTCCGTGGAAAGCCACATCTCAGCCGATCCACAATCATGGTTCGGGATTGAAAACATCGTGAGGAGAGAAAGAAACTCTGTTTTCTTGTACATTTCGTATAGAGAGCGGCATGTTCTTCTCTGGGTATTGAAAGCAAATGAAGGCACTTGCTTCCGAGTAACAGACGAAGTGGAAGTAGACACTCTTATTGACGAGCGAGTTTGCGATGTGGAAGGAATTTTCAAAAAGAGCGCCTCTGCCTTTGGTGTTTTACCCACAGCGAACTGCGAAGATCGATCTTTGGATGACCACGTGACGACATCTCTTCATAGCCGAGCAAATTTGCGAGGTGAACAAACCAAAGATGCCGAAAGAATTCATAAATTGTGCTACAAATGGATCGTCGCACCTGTGGAAGACTTACTTACAGAGCCTGAAATCATCATTGTGCCGGATCGTTTTTCGTACCGAGTCCCATTTGCTGCCTTGCGTGATGAATCCGCCGGAAAGTATTTATCGGAGAAGTACAGAATCCGTATCGTCCCTTCACTGACCACTCTCCGAATCATTCAAGAATGTCCAGCGGACTATCACAGTCCAACCGATGCGCTGGTTGTTGGTGATCCTACGGTTGGCGAAGTGCATTACAATGGACGTCTTACCAACATTACACCATTGTTCTGTGCAAGAAAGGAAGCAGAGATGGTTGGTCGACTGCTGGGCGTTCAGCCTTTGTTAGGAAGTCGCGCAACAAAGCAGGCAGTACTTCAAGCGATACCTTCGGTAAGTCTAATACATCTTGCCGCACATGGAAATTCCGAAAGAGGAGAGATTGCCCTCTCTCCTCAACGTACTACTAACCATACTCCTCAAGAGGAAGACTACCTCCTGACTGTATCCGAAATTCAAGGAGTTCAAGTACGAGCTAAACTGGTAGTACTCAGCTGTTGTCACAGTGGGCGTGGATTGGTTAAAAAGGAAGGAGTCCTTGGAATTGCTCGTGCATTCTTAGCATCCGGTGCACGTTCAGTGTTGGTAGCATCGTGGGCTATAGAAGACGAGGCAACGGAGCAGCTCATGAATCATTTCTACGAACACCTTGTGCGTGGAGAAAGTGCCAGTGAGTCTCTTCACCAGGCCGTTCAGTGGTTGAGAAGCAATGGTTTCCCCAAACCTTCCCAATGGGCTCCATTTGTGCTGATGGGGGATAACGTGACATTTGATTTTACGAAAAAAGGGTAAGTGTGATTGTAATGAGCAATTTTCTATAATAACCGATCAGCACACTTAACTTTTTCAGTTCAACGTATTACAGTCAGTTCCTGTTTGTTTGTTTTTGTCTTCGTATTTCATCTCTAAAATGTCAAGAAAAAAAAGACGATTTTATTTAGGCTCAGAGCCAGAAGAATTTGATGAATCGCTTCCTCAATTGGCCTTGAAAAGGAGTTCCTTTTGCATGGAAGACATTCAGAAATAACTGCTCAAGGTTGAAACGATGCTAGACGCTATGACGATGAGAGTAATCTGAGAAATTTAAGCTGTCTTTAAAAAAGTTAACTTTATTTTATAAAAAATCAACAACAATAACCAATTAAAGCATAATTTTGAAGTCACTTTCGCATCAATCAGGGTATATTCGACAATAATTTGGAAAAGTTCGAAAATCGTCGTCCATGACATTGAAGAAAAAGTAATTTCTTTCAAATGAACTTGAACCGTTTGCTTTTCAGCTAAAATAGTGACAAATGCAGAATGTTTGTTTTTAGGAAAAAAGAACTCAAGGAGGACAACAATGACGCAAAGAAAGAAACAGAGTAGAAGTCAGAGTAGAAGTTCCGCTTTGTCGTCACTCTCCACGCAGTTTTTGCTCTGTGTGCTTTTCCTTCTGGGTCTCGGGCAACATTATTTGTTAAAATGTAGAAAACGTAAAATATAAACTACAACTAAAGGAGAAAAACATTGGGAATCTTTAAAATGGCGCAACTGAAATATCGCAAGTTCGATAAAGTACGCATGCTCAGTCAAGATTTTATGGGGATTTTTGCTCCCAAGTGGCCTCATTTTATCTTTCAGTTATGCATTTGCGAGTTTCGTATCGTTTACGAGTAGATAGGTGTGAAAGATACGTTGAGGGATCGTTGCAAAAAAAAAAACAGAAAATATAGAGAACATGTTTTTTATTTTCCTTAAAATCTCGTCGTTGTTGATTAAATAGCAGTCATATAACTGCTTAAAACTTTGATAATTACTGCAGAGTTCTCTTTTTGAAAAATATACATTGATTGTTTTTTATTCCTACGAGTCATAAACTAAAATTAAATATGTGAGTCTGAATAATTCCGCGAGTTCGAGTTCGAGTGAAATGTGGAACACAGAGGCTCAAGAAAATATTTTGGCAAGCTAACTTAATTGGGAAAGATTTCCGTATCACCACATACTATTTGAATACAAACAATATTCCCAAGGGTATTTTCTATTGTTTCGCCTTTGTTTTCTTTTGTCAAGAACTGTATGCAAAATAGTAAAGTATGCGGTAATCTTGCCCAAAGTTGAAGGGAGAGCGCACTGTGGGGTGTTCTCATTCAGTTATGCTGAACATGCAGGGCGTAAGGTGTAATCGGGCGCGTTTAAAACGTGCGAGCGAATTATCACGGATGCACGAGCCTACTGGAGCTTTCTCCTTGTGTGTCTGCTCTCATGCACGCGTATTACTCGCATTTTCGCGGACACTTATAACGCGGGCTGGTAAACCTAAAATATTTAAAAAAGAGCGAAGCGGAGCGGTGGGAGGGGGGAGAGTGTTATGCGAAATTACTTTTAACAATTATAAATATTTCTTTCACCACTTTTTCAGGCGTCATTATACAGACTCATGTTTTTTTAGTGATATACAGTCCTTGTATCTTGTCTTAATAGACTATTGCTTTGGCTTTGCCTCAGTTTCTAACGTTTTCCCATTGCTTTCAAGAAGCGAAGGGTGGGGTCGCTCATGATGGCTTTGTCATGCCTGTATCTGCGTTAATTCCCAACCTCCACCTCTTCGTAAAGCCGCTCGATTTGGTCTTTGAAAGTCTTGAGTATCTCTGAACGCTTGGCCTTGAAGGTTGGCGTGAGAAGTCCGTTTTCAATGCTAAACATCTCAGGATGAAGATAGATTTTCTTGACCTTTGAAACATAGGATATTATTGTGATCTATAAGGATGGCTTTCGTTTTCATCTTTAGCAAATACGAATTTTTTTTTTCGTCCATGCTCTCGAAGTAGAGAGACTTCATTTGGTACAATTAAGTTTGTTGGTTGCCGTGGAGACTCCTTCTGATTATCGCGTAAAGGGAAAGTTAAAGAAAAAGTTCCTTAAGTTAAGCTGTCTCGTGTAGGAAAACAATTCAAACCGGACTCTTCTCATTGCAATTAGCATTTCCCACATCTATCAGACATTGTCACCTACGAGTAAATAACTGTATGACGTACACCCTAACCTGTTCTAATGAATTAAGATCTCCTTCTCTTCCCTTGGCCAAGATGTCTTCCAATATAACTTTATTTATAATCTGAAAGGAAAGTCACAGTTATGTGCTCAGCTAACTCCGTTTCCATGAAAGAAAAAAGAAACTTTTCAGCTTTTTATGTTAGATTATCATTGAACATTAAGGAGGAGGGAGTTCTGAAAAAGTGAAAAATTAAATCATCTTTCAGCTATGGAAAACTGCAAAAAAAAAACCAAACAAACGAAAAAGAAAAGAAGAAATACATAAATAAATAAATAAGCAATAAATTAAAGATATCAGGAGAAAATCAATGACGAAAAAATTACTGGCGTTTGATCCCATTGACCTGGTTACGACCATGTTAACCTGTGGTTGGTTCAAGCTTGCATGGGAGGCCTGGTGATAATATTACGGGCCTTTCTCATTTACACCTTGCACCACACACAGCCCCCGACCCTCGGGACCCCTCACCTTTAACCCCTCACCCCTTCTGTAAATTTATTTACCTCATCCTGACAAAGCTGTCTCACTCAACTTCTATCATCTGGTACAATAATAGCAACTAAGGACTGGAAACGAAGAATGTGTTTATTCAAGCTGCTATTTGGCTTCAATGCTTACAAATATTGTGAACAAACCTTACAGCTGTTTCCAATGACAAAGGCCTGCGCAACAAAGGGACTGCGTAAATATACATTCTGGATCTTCTCAGGAGCAATAAACTCTCCCTGTTTTAGAAAAAAAAATCACCATTTAAAGTGAAATGAAAAAGGAATAAAAAAGAAAAAGAAATGACACATGAGGCTGAGACAGATGAAATATTTGAGTTCTCTGAGAGGCTTCGAATCCAAACCTTCGAATTCGGGTTTCGTACTCCGATGCTTCACTTCTTAGCTACAGTGTATCCAACAGTAACTTTACGAAGTCAAATTAAGCTTAACATCACTCATTCATTGGACGGCCGAGCTAACAATTTCATTCTTTCTTATCTTGTTAAGCTGCAAAAGATTTAGAAGGAAATCCATACAAGATAGCAAAACAGAAATATTAACCTCTTCCAAGAGACTTAGCAAACTGTTACGGAATATAGGTACATAACATTTGTAAAGCAATGATATTCAGAGA